AATGGAATGGGGGGGATAGGGTGTCAGGGGTGAACGAAATGGACGAGGGACGGCGTGGGACGCAGAGGGTTGCTGGTAGTGTGTATTGATCGAGCTAGAAGAGCACCCCCGACTCCGCCGTACTTCGTACGAACGCCCACGTACGCGGTGTTTCGCTCGTGTACGATTCTTTCTTCTTATATCGTCCGTTTCCATTTCACCCTCGCAACCGTCACCTCTTCCACCCCCTCTGCCGGCCCTGTACCCGCGATACGGACGCTTCTTTGCTGCCCGTGGACGTCGCACCGAACACCTAGCGGATTACGCGGCTCCCGCGCCCGATTAATGGTCCACCGTGTAATTCTATTTGGCATCTCTTGCGCCGGCGAGAAAATTGATGGTCCCGCCCGTTCGTGGAACGGCTGAGATTGCCGGATCCGTGAGTTTTGAATCGGCGCGTGATCGATCGAGAATGGTAATTAAACCGCACAGACGGAGGCGGGGAATCGCGAAATTGACGGAGCGGTTGAACAGTTCGTGGAAAGTTTGAAATTCGCGAGTTGTTCGCGGGGCAGGCTTGTCTCGTTTAATCGTAACCCGAAATCCAATCTTTCCACCCCTCCGCGGGGCCGAAATTACGAGATTACGAGGCTACGAGCGTGTTTTAAACCCTCGCAGCCTCGCGTTTCCATCGATCCTCGTCGATCTTTAAATATCTACGCTTGTTTTCGAATTTATCCACTTCCATCGCGTAAAAATCCATTCGCGAATACTCGATACTCGAATACTCAACCGAGACACGAGCACGTATGCGAATTCTCGCGACGGGAGATCCTGCGATGGACATGTCTCACGGTGCCCCGAAAGGATTCGGTATCCGATCGATCCACGCGATTTTTACGCGTCGAATCTGCCTAATGCCATCGACATTCAGCAGCCTGAGTTCTAACCAGGAATCGCGAAGTTGCGTATACCGTGATCACGATTGCGGTAGACAGAGAACTTGCCGGTGTAATTTACGGTTCAGCCAGGTGCGTCAGAAGTTGCTCACCTTACGACCTAATTGGGTTTAATTACAGCTGACTGAAAGTTACGACGGCGGCGTGCGTCCGTATACAGGGTGGATTACAATTACGAGCCGCCGACAGCTGATTTCAGTTACCGCGATCGGCCTTATTACGCAGCCGCTATGATTTCTCTGCGTTCGCGGCGCTGGCCCAGCTCTCACCCCCGTGGTCGTAACGGTAACCACCGATAGTTTCCGCTGCAATTTTCCCCGTTATCTCTGCCCACTGTCTCCGCACGCGGGTATCTCCGCGATAACGACGCGGTTCTCCGTTAGTCGCCTCGGCAGTCGATTTAGCAGTCGCTTCGGCAGTCGCTTTAGCACCCGCCTGAACGACCGCTTCCACGACCGTGTGTCTGAAGGTAATCACGAGGAGAGCAAACAGAGCGACTAATCGATCGAGCTGGTCGCTTAACGTGACTCGATTCGCGCTTTGATTAGAGGCTGTCATTAGCACTGCTCGTGGCAATCTCGCGATCGGGCTAACGTTTCGCCTACCTTTCGCGTTAACGTTGTTTGGCGTTGAGACGGCGATTTTACAACGCGCAGGGTTCTCGAAACGGAGCGGAATGCCAGAAGCACCGCGAGGAATTCCGCCGTGGGAACAAAAGAAGCTAAATATTGACGCTAGTGGGTCGCTCGAGGTTCCGGCCGACCCTCGGACCGTAAGCCGCGCTTCCGTCACTCGCGTTCCGCTCAGGTACGCCTCGAGAACGTAATAAGCGAGCCGGGAAACGGGATTTAAATGTGCGAAACGTCACGAAAGTCGAAACATTGTTCGCGGAAGAACGCGAGATCGATCGTTTCACGGTTGCCAGCTGCGAATCGGAGAATCGGCTGTCGCGAAACTTGTCGCGCCGACGATCGATAGGGAATTCTCGCGGAGGTATTCCGCTTGATCGATCGTCGTCCGCGTGCCGACCGCATTTATGCACATTGCCCTCCTAACTTCTGGCGAATTTCCAACCTCCTACCCGTGCCTTTGCTAACCCACATACTCGCTTAAAACGCTGTTATTAAGCTCTGGACAGTGGACCGCGCGGAACCTCGCGCTATCCGCCACTGTTTCCCGTTCCTCGCCTCTTCTCCGACAACCGGTCTTCCGCCATGCTCTGTTCTCCGCTACCTTCGCTTCCGTTTCTCGTTTCCTGCTCTCCATTTCGGCCATTCGAAGTCACGTCCGAAGAAACCAGCACTCTACACCACGCACAACACGTGTAGAAGATCGGTGATCGGTCTCTCCGGTCCACGTCGGATTATCTGTTAAAATTCACACACAGGGAGGTTAATTTGGCCTGCAAAATTATGCACTGCGATTTATGCACCATATATATTTATGAAAGAAAAATTAAATGAAGCTTCAAACGCAATCCGGCAATTAAGCGATACGCGGAGGATTTCCCGGTTTCGTTTGCATATTTCGATCGATTCAAAGGGGTCACGCTCAAAGGACCGATTAATAGGGTGCACGAGAAATTAACGCGGGGAAAATTATAATTAACGACTGCCTGCTGCGCGACCAGTGTGAAACCGGGAATCAACATTAGGCGAGCAGCAAACGCGGATGACGTTTCGTTCGCAGCGCGAGTCGAGACTTATTAAAGTTATTTAACTCGTTAGCGTTCGATGGTGAATCGCGAAACGGCGGGACCCGGGACGAAGGTTGGGAAATTTAATATCGAGGCGACGAAGACCCTGACAGTCTACGTCGTCTTAAAATATGGCCGAACTCGAGGGAGCTGAGGGATAAGTGTCATTCAGGGTGGAGCACCCGGTCCGGATAAAGGATAGAGTTTCTGGCTGTCAAAAGGGATCGCGAATCCCTCGAATAATCTCTCCCTCTTTCTCTCTTCTCTCGCGTCTCGATACGCCGTAAATTAATAACGTATCGGCTGCTGATAAAGACTTTTATTCTCGTCGGGGTATCAGCGTCAGCCGGATTTCCGTTCGGTCGCTTTATCCGGCAGACAAATATTTCCCATCGAGCAGTTCGTTGCACGCCGTGCAGCGGGAAGAGTGGATTATGAATGGGAAAGAACGGCGGAAAACGTGCCACTGGTCTCGGTCACCGTAGCGGGAAAAACTGCGCGAACGTCCCGTTCGAAAGATCGAGGACTCCACTTTTCTTGGCCCGGTGATGGATAACCGTAATCTACGCGGGGCAAGAACTCTATCGAGGGCTGCTCTTGCAAGAAAATATCGCGGAACGTTCATAAAAGCGTCATAGTTTCGAGGAGAAAACGCATTGGTCCGAAAGAGATCGTTCAAAGGTTCGGCTCGCGAGCCGACGAGCCAGGCAGAAGATCAAGGCTGCGACAGACAGGGTGCAGGATACAAAGGGTAATAAATCGTCGAAAGGTAGACGTCAGCGACGTCCGGGACCCGGCAGATCTTGCAGAAAAATCAATGTCTCCGAAAGGGTCCCCTAGAAAGGGGAAATAATTAACGAAAGATGCCGGAAATAAGAGATAACCTATCCTAAATTATCTACGGAGTAAATCGCGAAAATCTACCCGGGAGGCAAAGAATGGTTGGGAAAAATATAGATCCTCGATACCGATAAATCTCGCGAAGATTAAGCACCGTCCCAAAGTCTGCTGGCCGCTATACGGTTTATTTGCGAGAAAATTGGAATCCCTATGGCGATCGGGGATTAAAAGTTGACCGGTTGGAGTTCGAAGGAGACGCCGAAGACTGGGCCGAACGATGCTCAGGAGAGGCGAGCGGCGTTAGTCAGCAAACCGCTCGGCTAATCCCCTAATTACTTCGACATGGTTAGCGACCCTGTACTAACCACGTCGGTGCCTGGCTCCGTTCCCCGATCGTTAATTAAAATGGCACTTCCTTGCAGCCGCGGTAATTTCCAGCCGGCACGGCGCGCACGAGTCACCACGGTCAATCGAGCTCGTGTTTAAACTATCCCGAGGAAGCGAGACCTAGGGAAACGGGAATATTCGCCATCTTTGATCCTCGTTTTGTCACCGCTGCCACGATTCGCGTAACCGGTTCTATCGTTTCGTTTTTAAACTTCGGAGCGAAAAGCATCGGTCGATACGACACTCAGAGAATGGGCATTATGGCGAATTTAATTGTTTCGACGCGTGGGTGGTGACCTTTTCCCGGGAAAGCTGTTTTCCAGCGTCGTGACGCGATTTCTTGGAAATATGGAGTCGAATAAAGCTGGTATCGGGGTTAGCCTCGTATTTCGCCGAGTTTTTGCAGGAATAGACACGGTTGCAATTGTTCCGGGAAAACGACGTCGATTTCCAAGAATATCTCGCGACGGAAATTTCGTTAACTGGAATTTCCGTGGAAATTGAATTTTCGGACCGACGATGTAGCGAACCGCGTTTTCCTAAATTGCCGGCAGTCTCGATATTCCCAGCGCGGGGAAGTGAAAAATTATTCCTTTTTTAACCGGAAGGTATGCCGGATACGATGCGTTTTACCAGCCGTATTAACGTTCGATTCGTTCGCGAAAAACATGGAGGGGAAATTTTCGCTCGGATAAATACCGTGCCCGGGGTAAAGGCGAGTAAATCGAAGCTTAATTATGCAAAATACCGCCGGCGAACAGTTATTCGCTGCGCTCATAATTACCCCGGATTCATGACTTCGTAATATTCGCGTCAATATGATAATGCAAACCCGGCGACCGCGATGTAGCTATACGTAAATCGGAAACCATCCACTCTCCATACCGAATCCACCCTCGAAGAGTATCGAGGAACGTCCTACGAGAGGTACACCCCTGTATTCGCGATTTGCGACGAGGTTGGTGAGCGTTTTACGCGACGATACAGCGACGGAAACCGTGACTAGACCTATTCGCAATGCTATCCTTGTTGGGAAAACGGTAGAGAAAACGACAGAGAAAACGATAGAGAAAATGAAAGCATCGTGGTCATCTACGATCGATCCCCCAAGTAATGCGCTCGGCGACGTGCTGATTCAGGTACCGCAGCGAGGGTGTTGCGGAGTCTGCTCTGGTCGACGACACCCTCAACGGAAATCCTCGATCTTCGTCGTCGTCTTCCTCGATTCTGCCTCCCGTTCAGTCAGCATCCGCGGACACGGTCGACGCTGCGAATCTGTCCGATTCGATAAAGTACGTACGATAGAGCCATTCGTCGTACCCAGATACCCGTAGACAGCTGCACCGTTCTTAAACGAACAAAGTTGTTGCTTCACTTCTTGTTTGTTTGATGTTCTTATACGTATATACCGTATACATATATATTACATATATATTGTTGTTGTTGTTGTTGTTATTGTTGCTGCTGCTCCGCTGCTACACCATTCCGTTTGCCGCTCTTAGCGACTAACTGCTAGCCCCGTGTTTGGATACTTGTTCCCCGTATCCGAGTAATTCAATGGCTGACCCGATGCGACTTCCACCCGTAATCGCGAGCTTTTGTAGGCGACGATGCTCCTCGCTGCTCCGTAGGAAACTCGAGCCCGAGTTGTTGTTGCTTATCTTTGTACCACCCGCCTCCTCCATCCAACCCTGTAAACTCTGCAGTATTGTAAAGTTGTGGCTGCGGACGCGTTCGGCATTGCATGCTAGGTACACCGCGCAGGTTCGAAACGTGGGCCGCGTGATCAATCGAGTAGTGCCCGAGATGACGCGTCGTCTTCCCGTATTTCCAGCGACGTTGGCAAACATGTTTGCCGAAATTACAACGTCGCGTAAAGGATCAACGAGGAAGCGAACGATCGCGAATTCGTATCGAGGATCGTGATCGAAGTTTCGTGTGATCGCGAAACCTCGTCGCGTAATCTCGATCGATCGGGCACTCCGTCGAGAACGGGAGCGGTGTAAAGATTCTGCCCGACGCCAGGTAGACTCGTCTCTCCTCGAATTAGAAAGTGAAACGAACTTTTCCCCGGCTACGATCTTTCGGCCGCGCCTTTTGCACGCGAGAAAGTGAGCGTCCGAATGCCGCCGCCATTGCCGACGAATAGATTTTATTCCACCGAGCGGAACACGGCCGAGCAAATCGACTCCTTTTCGACACAGAGATATACGTACATAGAACTGCGAACGTTCCACTGTCGCTGCACTGCTTTTATCGTAATTGTTACGTAGCATGACTCTTCGACTGTTCATGCATCTCGTAGATTATGCATCTTGCCACCATTGCGAGAGATTGCGAAAGTAGCGGATTGTCTGCAAGTACGGGGACCTAGAAAGATACGTTTTTTGAGAAAGCATCGATTTGTCAACCTGTTCACGGACTCTCGTGCACGTCTCGTTACTTCTGGTCATTTCTATTCTCACCTGGTACGTGGATCGCGAACGACGCAACGTCCTCAGTGAGCAGGCTCGGTGACGCGCGTGGAATCATCGACGACCGCGATTCGTCGATCCTAGATCCAAGATATTATTTACCAGCCAATCAATTACCACGCGATCCGATTCGTCGTAACCCGATAGACTGCTTGCTTGCTCGACGCAAGACGTACATCTCATCGACGTGGACTCTTCGGTTTAGCAGCGAGTACCCAAAGCTTCTTCGTTGCGATAAATCCTCGTCTGCTGGAAGATCGCGCAAGTGTGTACCCGGGCGCGATGATGACGCGTGTGAGAGAGTGACATCAAAGTAGATTTCGTAGGCCGGGATTAGCGTGGTTGCTTCGCGTTCCTCTTGCTTTCGTTGGGTCTGTCAAAGTGGATTGGCGGAGTAAAGGGAGTGATTAGAATCGCGCGGTGTATATCGTAGGGTTCGTTCGAGCATCGTGATAATCTCGGGCTGTGGGATATTACAGTTATTGCGAGAAAGCGGATAACGAAACGACAGAGATGGGAGGCGTTCCGCACGTGGAGGGTGGACTGAACAGCGAGCTGTACGCGGTCCCTGTGAAGCGGAGGCAGCCCAAGGATCAAAAGAACAATGCCACTCTGCAGAACAATGCCCAGGAGAAGCCGGCTGAGGTGGATACCACCGATTCTGAGGACAAAGATGAGAATCTGCCACCCGGATGGCAGAAGCACGAGGGTAAGTATCGATGAATCGAACTGTAAATACGTCTATAGACCAAACGGACATGTCTTCGACTTAAGGAATCGAGAAATATGACAAATTTTCTTTTTCTATGAAGCGACGGTGTTTAGACAGATTCGAAGAACGATGGGAATTTTTTCAGACGAGAATGGACCTTACTACTGGCACGTTAAGAGCGGAAACATCCAGAGGGAGCCACCAGAGGCGCCGCCACACTCCAAGAGAGAGTCGCGCAGGAGCCTCATCAAAGACAACGACAGCGTGAGTAGATACTCGGAAGCTTTATATTCATGAAACGACGATATCGAAATGTTTCCACGTGTCGATGTTACCGATACAGATAAACAACTTCCACACCCTGAGCGGCATGGTGAACACCGTCACCCGTAGTAACACGAGCTCGGCTTTGGATCAGGAGTTGGAGAACAAGAGAAAAATGGAGCTGGCTCTCAAGTGAGACAACATCGATACTCGTTTGTCCGCTTTTCCGCGATGTAACGGTCCATTTCACCCTGTGTTCGTTTTTCAGGCGACGGAGCTATCCCGCACGAGCAGACTCCGAGGGTAGGGACAAGCCTATCAGATTCGCCGTACGTTCTCTTGGGTGGACGGAAATCGCGGAAGAGGATCTGACGCCTGAAAGAAGCAGCAAGGCGGTCAACAAGTGTATCGTGGACTTGTCTCTGGGTAGAAACGATCTCTTGGATGTGGTTGGACGGTGGGGCGATGTTAGTGCCTATTCTTTGCTCTGTTTCGTTGTACGATAACGAATGATGGTCGTTAATATACGAGATTAAACTTCTCAGGGCAAAGACCTGTTTATGGACCTGGACGAAGGCGCCTTGAAGCTGATAGACCCGGAGAATCTCACCGTGCTCAACACACAGCCGATTCACACGGTGAGGGTGTGGGGTGTTGGCAGAGACCATTGCCGGTAAGTGAATCTTAAGAGATAATGGAAATAGCTTTATACATCGTTAACGCATTTACGATTCGTTTCATGGCTGCTTCGTTGCGACGATGCTCGCGCAGTGAAAGGTAAGTGATATGTACGAAAGGATGACATTTACATTGTTTCGCAAGTGAGTAACGCGTGAACGTGTCATTTGTCGCTCAGGGACTTCGCATACGTGGCAAGAGACCGGTCGACCCGAAAACACATGTGCCACGTGTTCCGTTGCGACATACCGGCGCGCACAATCGCGAACACGCTCCGCGATATTTGCAAGAAGATCATGATCGAACGGTCGCAACACCAGAATCTCGCGAAACCGGTAGACATCAATGGACGAACAAGCTTGGCCACCCGGCCGACTAACCTACCCACAGAGCATCGACGCTTCCATAGAAACGGACAGGCCCTAGTCAGTGAGTACTCGAGAAGCGTTCCCAGAGTCTGTGGAGGGTCTGGTTTCGCGATAGAGCTAAAAGTACAAACGTTGACCTATTTTCAGCGCAATCATTCCCAACGCCGATGGAAGAACCGAAGAAGGTGTTGCGAGCGCAATATCTCGGATCTATGCAGGTTTCTCAGGCAACTGGAATGGAGGTTCTCAACGACGCGATAGATCACATCGTTGCTAACACGCCTATCAATCAGTGGCGAAACGTGAACGTTGCCGTGGCGCCCAGTATGATTTCTATCCTTACACCGAACGTGAGTGGGATCTAGGTCTGGTAATATCTCTAGCTAGGGAGTCGAGGGAAATAACGACGCTCGTTTCAGGAGGATAAACTTATCACCGAGTGTCGAGTACGTTATCTGTCGTTCCTCGGTATCGGTCGCAACGTGAAACAGTGCGCCTTCATAATGCACACCGCGCAAGATCTCTTCATCGCACACGTCTTCAACTGCGAGCCTAGCAGCGGAGCCCTTTGCAAAACCATCGAAGCCGCTTGCAAGGTAGCTGATTTCGTAGGCAACTATCCCGCGTATTCCTTTGGTCTATTTCAGTGTACATTCGATACTCGATTATGCACACAGCTGAGGTACCAGAAATGCTTAGACGCACACCCGCAAGGCTTCAGAAACGCTAGCAGCCTGAACACCCCGAGTGGCAAGGGTCTTGGCGCTACCTTGAAATCTCTGGTCGGCTCTCTGACTGGGCGTAGGAATAAGCAGGGTGAGTCCTGAGACGAGGCTCTCTCGCTGCAGGTAAATAATCGCATTCGTAATGGTTAGAATACGTAATCGTAGGAAGTAAAGAGAAATCTGTACGATCGAATAAATACCTTCGTGTCCGATGAACCATACCACATCGCCAATGATAGAACACTGTGTTGTAGCTCATACCTTCGCTCGTTCCCTCACAGGAACTGTGGCCGCTGCCTGCTGAGCGAGAAGTGATCAGACACAGACATCTGCAGTCGCCCCTGACCTTGAAATACTTCAGCGGATCGCCTCCGAGCGCATCTCTCAGGTCACTCCTTTCACCCTCTCTGGACAACAGGCGTATTCAACTGGCCCGTTGGGAGAGCAATCCTTAAGAGGAACAGAGCCGCAGGTCAAGCCAACTCTCGAGAAAGAAGAATGAAAGAAAGAAAGGAAGGGAAATAAAAAGAGGATCGTATTCTTACGTTAACGACTGAATCGTGAATTCTGCAGAGTGCTATACTAATTACCACAGCTATAGTGGACTACGCTTACGTGTGTCGATATGATGTTATGTATGTTACACGCAGTGTCTGACAAAAAGAAAAAAAAAAAAAAGAAAAGATAAAAAATATATCGTCGGAGAAGAAAGACGTGAGAAGCTCGTGGATTGGTGCCACGGATGCGGAGGCAGGATTCTCCTCAAGGTCGAAACGTCCCTTGGCAAAACGTTTGCACGTTTCGCTCGGGATCACGCCCGGAGAAAACGAAGACCGCGTTATCAGCGTCTGAGGTCCTCTGCTCGAAGCATACGCGAAAGCACGCTCGAGGACCGGAGGGTATCCTGCACGGATTGGTATAGGATAGAACGAATATCTGTATATATACGGGATGGTAATTTATCGCGCTAAATTTAGTAAATTCGCTGGATTTAAAGGAAGTCCAGAAGAGAAGAGTGAAAGTGGAACGATGCGTGAGTGACGGAATGACTGAAGTAGCGTTTTAGCGTATCCACGAGGCATTCGAAGATTAAACAAAAAGACAAACAAGCTATAGAGAGCTTAAATGTATAACTTACATGTGTATTCTCGGGTGTACAGATTAGAGAAACGAGACGAGGATGACCAGACCACACGAAGTAAAAACACGTAACACACGTATTATATAGAAAAGAGACACGCATAGAGAGATGATACCCACGCGATGGAATACACGAGTACACACGTGTGCATGCATACGCATACACGGACACAAACGCGCGTGCGTACAGATACACGGACATTTACACAGGCAGGTAATAGGGAGTTTATTTTTTATGGCGAATTATAGAAGAGTTTGCACCTTTTTGAAATGAAGGCGATACGATAAATGCTAGCGCGACCGTCCTTTAAATCCACGGGAAAGAAGAGACCGAGACGAACTTACCAAGCCACGTACCGATCTTGACACTCGCAATAAACAATATATATATATATATATATGTATATATACATATACATATATATATACATAAATATATATTATCGTACGCACAATCGTTGTGCAATAACGCTAACGCCTACACAAAACGATTAACAACTTCATTCTGTTGAAACGATGTAACGAATCGTTATCGTCGTCATCATTGTTGTCGTCGTTGTCGTCGTCGTCATCGTCGTAACGCGCCTCGCTGAACAAACTAATTATCGCTGAGCTCCATCATGCGCCCAAATGTCGCAATGGCGTCGAAGATTTGAACGATAATAAAGTTCCGTGTGCGAAGAGAAGCAAAGGAGGAAATAAAAATGGAAGAAAAGGAAGGAAACGAAAGAACACGAAGATCCAGCAGCTTGCCCAGGGAGAGCTTATTCACCGCCACGACGATATCGTTCCCCGGAACGATTCGAGCATCGACGCTATACGACGCTATGTGTCACGCGATCACAGAGAGAAATAAATATATTGCGTACACGTATATTATCCGCAGACTCATTATTCGCACGTGCACAGCGTCGACTGCACCCTATCACACGCGACGAGCGTTCAAAGACATCGTAGAGTTAGAGCTGACCGAGCGAGGCTAGCACTCGGCTCTGTGTTCTATCGGTGAACGGAAATCGTGGCACGTCTTCACAAAACGTTACATCAACGCGCATTGTACTCCGCGAAATCATTGTAACGCACGTACGTTCGCGCGTACGTAACCACACAAGCACGACATCGACGATCCGGAAGGAAAGCCGGAGTAGCGAGGGAATTTGGGACTGCGTGCCGGCTGAAGGATCGTCGCTTCGAGTGCTCGCGATGCCTAATGTCAATCAGTAGCTTAGAAACCCGTGAATAATTAACCCGTACGTGTATCATCGTGCGCGCCGTTCTACCTTCGGTTCGTTTTCTATCGATAGCTTTAGGCATTTTTCCATACGCGCCGAATTTTTTCAGCAATCGCAGCGAATTGTACAGAGAACGAAGAAGAAGAAGATGGTCTACTTCGTCCGATCCTTGATTATTTTCGTACGATAACCTCGCGATTAGACACACGTGACGATGTCGCGAACCGACGTCTCGTCCACGTTGTTCCGCCTGTAATCGAACGACTCGCTGACTGACAACCAACGGCTACCGCGGACTAGCTTTTATTCTCGCTCGTTCAGTCGTCGCTTCTCACATTTGACCGGAAAAACGTTCCTAGGTAACCGCGGCGGTGCTCTGATTCTCCGCGCGCGGACATGTCTCGAGACAAACAGGCGGAAAAGTGGCGTTCCAGCGATCCAGAACGAACGAACGAACGAACGAACGAACCAGAGAAATAAGACGAAAACGGGACAAGGAGCGGCAAAACTCACCGGTCGTTTACGTAACAACGCATATGTACTGTCAGCAAGAAAGCTACCGGGGGGGCCAGCAGTAGGCCAACGTTAATGTCCCGGAACGTGATTCATCGTGAAGGGAAAACGCTTCCGCGAGGCAGAAAACAGGAGGAATGCCTGTGCTCCGCGCTGGAGAAAGGCGGGGTTTTCTTGCTCGCAGCGCATCCTCGTCGTCCTTCGATGACGGTCACGTCGTGGGAGCCATCGTCATCGCGAAAGATACAAAGTTGTGCGGGACCCAGAACGAAGAGATATTTCTATGTAGCGTTTAAATAAGGATGGCTGGCCAGATAGGAAGGAAGGTTGAGTGGACGGTGCGTGAATGTGTTAGAGGGTAAGAAAGAGGAACGCGTGCGTGGTGTAGGCTGCTTGATGAGGGATTCTCTTGTGACAATTATATCTAGATGAGGCTGTAAGGATAAGCGACGGATGAGTCGCGAAGATGGTTTTCATTCTTTGTACATAAAAATACATGTTACGAGGATCACCTGCCTTTTACTATAAAGAAGACGTGGAAGAAGGAAGAAAAGATGCGAAACGTAGCGATTATTAAGAGAGAGATGAGAATGCCGCGTGTGCGAAACGCCTCGTCTCTTGGCTGAATGTTATTATCTCGGAAGAGAAGGTCCTCGAAGGCCAGCAGCCATCGAACCGCGGGCCTTTCTGGAAATTCCCTTTCGATCTATCCGCCGCTTCGAATTTCCTTTCACCCGTATCTTTTTGCGTTCCTTTCGTTATCTGGTCACTCTCAATCTCTACGCGGGTAGGCTTGAGAACCGTGTCATGAACAATAATTAAACGAGACGTCGTCGCGCGACGAGGCCTCCCGTGGCACTCGCGTTCCGCAATCTCGGTTCCCCAAGTTTTACACGAAAGAACCAGCGGTGTTTCTTCTGCTATTGATATATCGTTGATACGATTTCTTGCTTTGATATACATATATATATATATATATATATACAAATATATATAGTTGTTGAATTTATATTATCGTAATGTTAGAACTGGCGAGTGATCGTGGGTGGCATGGGACAGCCTCGAGAGCGCGACGATTGCGGAGAATAAAGTGGTATGGATGTAAATAGAATTATTATACATTCGTGTAGAAACGTAAGTGACTGAAGACAGGAAAGGTCGAGGGATAAGTTCAAAGGTTAAGGGCACCATCGTTGCACCTATCGTCCGAGCGACGACTGACGTGAAAAAAGAAGAAAAAAGAAAAAAAAGGGAAAAATTAAAATTAAAACCGACCGACATGATATTCAGGCATACACTCAACGATACATACATACATACATACATACATGCATACGTACAGTACATGCACACACAGGTGCACACGCATTAAACACACGAAAGAGAGAATACACGTACACGCATACACGTTCACGAACTACGCATAGCTTAACTGTCTCCTTAATATTGGTGTTGACATGTCGCCGCAAAGGGTTACGAGGGTATCGTTAGGAAGAGAAAACTACTTACCAACCGCGGAGTTGAAGAGGTTAGAAAACAAGAGGCGGAGGAGGGTAAAGGAGAAGGGAAGCCACTTGTAACTGACATAGAATAGTGCAAACCTAACTATATTTACTGTGACATGTAATATCCTTAATGAAAAAAAAAACGAAAAAAAAAAAAATGCGATCTACTTGATAGGAGAGTTGTTCTGCACAAAACACGATGCTTCATTGATAATTATAGTGTCTCTCTCTCTCTCTCTCGCTCTCTCTTTCTCTATCTCTCTATCTTCAAAAAGTACGTACCTCTGTATACCTTATGGCAATTTAATGTATCCAACACGATATTTTCGATCGACAATTCGTTTCGGCAATCGAGAACAACGCTTTCCGCGTTCGCCCGCGTCGCGAACGACTCTCGTCATCGTTTACCTCGATTCGAAATCATCATTTCAACGGATCACGCAGAGACACGCAATCATCCAACGATCATTGTTAATTCTAATTGTAATCACGACCGCTATCGCCGCGTTGATTTTCGAGTACAATTATAGGCGAATTCACCGTCATCGTCATGTCGCGTAATTAGTGGAAATATTCTAAAACAACGGAACAGGCTTACCATCGACTACCGAGCACGGGTAGAGAGAAACACGAGGATAGGAGGAGAAGGGGAAGAAAGTAAGACGTGAACATGCTCGCGTGACGATTGGCTTCGAAGCGTCGAGCGATCGATTTATCGTTTAACGGTAGACGGCGAGCGATCGACTTTTCGTCGACGTTACGAGAATCTCGCGCGATAAGACGCGATCGTCGTTATTCACGAAGAAGGAAGCCAACGAGATTCTATTTGGAACAATTTTAGCCAACCGTTTTTCCGTTCTTTCGTTTTACCCTGGAATAGAATCTTGCTGTGCGCGTGTATCTTGAGACGAGAACGAGTTGTAAAAGCAGCGAGGAGAGGAAGAAGAAAAGAAGAAAAGAGAACACCGAGCGACGCGTTTCGTAATATTTCGACGAGTCCACGTGTCGTTTTTAGAGCGTACGAAATGGACAAAACACTTTGTATGCACCCGCCCTCCCTCCCCCATTGTTCATGCCCATTTGTATTGCGTAGATGGACCGATCGATAATTATAAACGGACGTGAGAATACTATTATATATATACGTATATATACATACTATATATATATAAATATATATATAAAAGCGACAGAATGAAACTACTGTAACTACACCTGCCTCTTGTGAATAAATGCCTATTTGTTTCTTTTCAAACTCGTTCTTATTCTCATGTCGACTTGCACGAGGTATCGATCGAACTTTCCAAAGTTCCCGGTAATCGGCGCTGGCGAATATTAAGGTCGATTCGCACCGGAAAATCGCAAGGTTTCCACGATTGATGGATCTAACGCGATCGTTGCACGAGAACAAGTTAGATCCGTAAAACAGACTTTTATTAAATAAATATGTTGTCACAATCGTTCAGATCAGGTGGAATTATACAGTTATCGTACAATATCGACGAGTACAATCAACTCGTCGACTACTAATTTACAAAGAAGGCTATCTGCGCGCATGCACGCGAGCACAGAGGCTACGCGGCCGCGTTAAGTGATTCGCGAGCAACCGCTTCGTTGTTGCTTAACATCGATCGTTAATTAAAGCTAAGCGTTCAGACTGGAATGAAGAGAAAGAATGTCGAGGAACATCGTCGCGGTTGATCGGCGCAAACGCGCGTGAAAAAATTTCTCTAACAAGTTTATTGCACAGTCGTTGTGTAAAGGGGTGTATGGTCACAGCTTGGTCGATCGACCTTCACCATTAGCCGCAAAAGTGTCGCTTCCTTTCCACGGTTTTCGAGTCGCACTATTTAATTTCCTGGTCCACTCGGGGACGGACGGACGTTGATTACGTTTTTAAAATTCAAGCGAATTAAAAGAAGAAATAAAACACGAAAATATAAGCCGTTAAGTCCCGTTCTAAATTCCGAAGTTTAATTTCATTCATTCTTCATTACTAATCGTCATCGATTTACCGACGATAACGCCATCTTATATAAATTCGATTCTTAGAATTTACCGTAACAGGGATAAAATATATATATATATACATATATATGTAGTCGTATCACAATCAACGATTAAAGAAATTTCGTTCTCGTAAATACTAACGTAAGACACACGAGTCTATCACAAACGTTTTATATATCTACAGCCGCGGGTTGAACAAGTTCGACTCTCTTTAGGCCGTGTCGTTGCGCCTCGTCCGATAAAAAAAGGAGGACGAGTGAATCGGCTACTGTTTCGCTTAATCGCATCGTTCGGAATAATGACAAGTTTGTACCCGCGAGCCCGGACATCTTTGCGAGAAGACGCCACTAGAGATCGTTCTTACAGTGGTAACGAGTCGTTCCACGATTACTCGAATGACGAGACGTTCGCTCAGAGGAGAAAAAAAGTTCGCGTTTCGCCATCGACCAAGTAATCGCTTAAGTCTGCTGGCTGGCGCTTTCCTTCTTTCCCCGATGCATCGAACAGACGTCTACAAAGAAGAAACTTTCTTTCGTTGCTTTGTATTCGAACGAGTATCGAGGTATACCATTCGAGATTTCACGGGAAAAGAAAAAAGGCAGAGAAACGATAAATCTGTTGCGAAGAATGGCGATGAAAACTTAACGATGCGAGAGAATCTACGCTAAGGAAGATAATCATCCCAAGATCGAGACACGACCTAGCAAACTTGCCGACTAAAGACAAATTTTCTCAGAAACTTATCAGCTGTATAAATCATCATCGCGGAAAAACGATGCACGCAAAGCGCCTTCTATGGCGTGTTTGCCGCTCAAATTCGAATCGACAGTCTGTCTCCAAACGCGACGGATAGATGAGCGGACGAATGGTCCCTGATACGCTGGCGCCACAACGAAAAGTACGAGGAACAACCTCTTTTCGAGCGCAGTCTTCTTCTCTCACCGTGCACCGGTGTCTCTTGGCTTTCGTTTCGCGCAGCAAGTCCTACGCGAACAGTCATTTTCGTCAAAACAGGCCAAACATCTTCTTCGTCGAGCCGGTACTCCTCTTTTTCCTCGCTGGCGCCACTATTTCCGAATTCTCAGAGTTCGCGGCGGTTATAGAGTTCGTAACTGGCATCAATTTGCTTCGAACATGTTCGTCCAAAAGGGACTGCACGTCCATCTGCCATTGCTCCAACTGTTGGCTAAGTTCGATCTTCTGTTGGATAGCTTCCATCAGCTGACTGTTAGCCTGGAGAACGTCTATCCTCGTTTTGGCCAGCTCCACCTCGGCCCTGTTTTTCCTAGCTACAGCTTGATCCCTGACCTTGTAAGCCTGGGCCAATATTTCATCCTTCGTTAACTGCGAGTGCTCTATGTCGTCGCGGGCTCTATCGCGTTCCTCTCTAACGCCGCGCAATTCAGCCTCGCTCACGCTGAGTTTGCTCGTTATATCGAGCAGGGCCTCCCCGCGCCTCTTCAGCTCCTCTTGCGTCTGCTTGTGTTGATCCTTCGCGTTCTCCAGCTCTTCGCGTACCCTGTGAAGCTCCACGGCCAAACCCAGCTCACCGGGTGCCCCTCTGCCGGAGAGAGCCAAGTTGTATACCTCCTCTACCAGGTCCAACAAAGCACCGGGACAATTGGCCTGCAAAGAACCAAAGAGACCACTCGTACAGAGAACATATGGCGAGGCACTTGCGAATACAATGCCATTGAAACTCGAGTCGATCGAGCAGAGATATCTCTGTCGCGCTGTTAGCTAGCTACGGAGAATCTTATCGAAGGAGACCAAATAAAATCAGCGGTGTAAACACGAGCTCGGCAAATATGAGCGCGTCGAAGAGTCGTAAAAGCGAGGGAAGGCATAATAACTCTCCGAGACGAGAAGCACCGCGATCACGCTCGATTCGTTATCTACGATCAGACCGGGACACGTGAATCGAGCTTTCGTGGGCGCTCGACAGAGGTTCCCTGCCTACCGCGAACAACCGGAAACCGGAAGTCGCGGAACAAAAGGAGCGGGATACGCGAGACTCTTACCGAGCTAGGGAGAGTCTCCTGCCCGTTGGAGTTCACCTCCTCCGTTTCCGCGGTGTTGTTCACGATCACGAGCATGGACTCGTCGCAGTCGCTCTGTAATCCCGAGTCGTCCTCTCCTCGTCTCAGATGGACGCACAGCTCCTTCAACCGCTTCACCGCCCTAGCCATCTCTGCGCGCAAATCCTCCTGCTCCCCCAGCGAGCTTCCGCTCTCCTCGCACTCCATCTCGGCCTGCAGGGACCTCGGTGGTTTCTGTATCGAGCCGGATCTGCCTCTCCTGTCCGCCTCGATGGCCGCCAATGTCGCCGCCAGCTCGTCCCTGTGGATTCGATCGATCAAACGATTAACGTCGATCACGCGTTCAATCGACCTCCCAAACCTACCCGACTGACTCCTTCGACTGACTCGATTCCAGGTACTCGCGCGTTCGTTCCTACGTTTACGGAACGCGGTCTACCTTGTTTGGTGTGCTATAAGCTTCCTTTCAACGGCGAAAGAGACAAACAAACGCGATTACCAAGCTCGATGAAAAATCGAACGGCGTTGAACGCGACTGGAACACCTTCATCCATTTCCCAATGTTAATTTCGCGGAACTCGAGCGAGCAAACGTAGGCGTTCGAGACGCAGATGGAGCACACGAGTCTCTGCCCTTCTCTCGTACGCGTTATGGAAAACGCCAGCTCGCACACGTGGGCCGCGAGAACAGGAGCAGCCTACGGGCTCCAGCAGGCGGTGATAGGCGAGTGTTACGTATGCGTTACGACCGTATCGTACTACTATCACGACGGGTCGCGGTGCGTTATCGGAGAATATTAAATCGCGAGAATATTAAACCTCACCTCTCGCGTTCGGCCAACTTCGCCCGGTGTTCCGCTTCGTGGCCGAGTCGCTCCAAGGCCGCGGCTCTATCCTCGGCTTCTTCCAGAGCCGCCATCGCTCTCGCCCGCTCCTCCCGCAGCTCCAAGGACCTCCTCTCTAATTCTGTTCTTTGCGCGGACACCAGCTGCACCTGGAACACGTCGGGTACCACTTTCGCTTAACTGGCCTACGTTTTATTCCATTTCGTCGGAGCCGTCTCTGTCAATCGGCCCGCTCATCTGTCCACGGTTCTACTCGCGTTTGCGTATCCGCGCGCCAACTGTCGCGCTCGTTGACGTTTCGTGCACGCGATACGACCTCGAACCGCGCGTTTCCGGTTCTTTAGCAAGAGGCGTATATGCAATCGTCGCGTATATAGACTCGCGGTCAGAGTGGGATTCGTTGATACGTCAGGGGTCGAAATTTAATTAGGCCTGAAGCGAGACCCGTGCTGGTACCGGCAGCGTTAGACGCGCCACGTAGGTACATCAGCTTTCAGCCCACGCGACCTTGTAATAGATACCTATAATAGGTGAAAGGGAATACCGATCGTTCTGTTCGACTACCTAAGGGAACGCTCTCCTACTGCCAACAAGGTCGTCGAATTGCTCCAAGGTCGCGCCAGGGTTCCTCCCATTCCTTCCCCCTGCAGTTACAATGGACGCGCGGATTTTCCACCGAACCGCTTTCCAATGCCCAACATGGCAACGTGACATAATCGATAACGTGGTCGTAACGCGCAGACGGTGTAACGCGAATATCAGCGGCGGGAATTCGCGCGTGAAGGGCATTTCCTGAAATTCGAGTTCGCTGCGCGTAAGAAGAGAAGAAAGGGCGCAAGGAACGAAGGACGGGCAAGCGAAGTCGATCGTCGAGGGTCACGACACTCGGTTCCACTGCACAGCGTTCTTCGCAACGCCAATTTCTCACGGCTACACGGTATTTCCTCCCGCAGAGACCTGCCTCGAATTAGACGCTCGTACACAGTCCATTGATATGGCCTGGGTCATACATATTCAACGTTCCCTAACGCCGAACAATATCCATCAGCCGCGGTCGCAACGGTAAACGACCGGCTGGATTCCCAGTATAATCCAGCCGGCGATTATCCAACGATCGTAAGCAAAAACAAACGAGGTCTGCGCCCCAGACGATTGTTCGACACGGATTCACGACACGAAGTTACGGGGACGGTTGCATAACGAGCATCGTGGAACAGAAGGGAAATGAAATGATCGCGAGAGCGTGGATCCGCTAACGGAAGACCGGGATTCCCCCTGAGGCAGTGATCTCTGCAACTGTTCATTTACCTCGTCCCTGAGAACCTCCAGACTGCTCACGTGATCCTGGAGCGTGGTACTTCTGAGGGCACACTTTTCCCTCAGCACCTTGACCTCGATGAGCAGCTGCTCTTCCTGCTTCGCGGCCTCCCTCAGCTGATCGGCCAGCCTCGTGTTTTGAGCGGTGAGCTCCGCGACGAGGGTCGCCTGGTCCCGTTCCGCTCTTCTAGCCCGCTCATTCTGCTCCTCTAGCTGACTCCTCAGCGTCTCTACGTCCGCCTGCAGCTCCAACGTTTTCGCCTCGTTCTCGCCCCTCGCTTCCTCCAGCCTTCGACGGAGCAGGTGCCTCTCTTGTTCCAGACTCTGCGACAGCAAACAACGACGGCGTTAAGACCATTACGCGGGATCGATGGAAGCCAATTAGCTGGCTCGCGTCGCGTGTTTCGATGTCGAAACTTCTCGCTCTGCCACGTGCCAAACCTTGGAGTACGACATAACCACATCGCACGTACGAATCAGGTCTCTAAATAATTTCGAAATTCTGTTTAACCCTTTCGCTACGGCGAGCATCGTCGCGAAGTCTCTTCCGTAGGACGCAGTACGATGTCAAAAATGGTGACATTACGATCATGCAGTCTTTAGCATGCGGTCTTTTGACGCAAATCTTTTGAAGAAAGAAAGAAAAGGAAAAACTCACCGTCGCAATAGAGCTTGCAATCCTTTGCGAAGGGAACTAAGAGAAACGGTAGCACTTGTCTTAATTTTTTATTCAATTTTTGTGGTCGATGACTATAGTCACCCGTCGTGTATAGACTGCGTCTTGTGACCGATGACTATAGCCACCTATAGCAGCGAAAGAGTTAAATATTCTAAGAGACGTCATCGTTGTACGATCAGCCTTGTAAATCTCTGACCCCGAGTCATCGGAGTAACTCACCCCGAAAATTGCATCCCAAACAATTTGTCAATATCTCTAGCTATAATTGATCTATCCATTGATCATTCTAGAATTGCAACATAACATTGATGATCATGGAATAGGTTAATACGATGGCTGTAGAACTGTGTTCTTGGCTATACTCAGTAGTGTATTGTCAATTGTTAATATCTCCAGCTATAATTGATCGAACCTTTGATCATTCCAGAATTGCTATAGAATTTAAATCATCGGTTAACAGATTAACCCAACGGCTACAGTACTGCGTTGATGGCTGTACTCGGTACCTTATTGTCATTTGTCAATATCTCCAGCGATGATTGATCTATCCATTGATAATTCTAGAATTGCAACGAAGTGTAGATGATCAGGGAATATGTTAATACGATGGCTGTAGAACTGTGTTGTTGGCTATACTCATTTGTGTATTGTCAATTGTTAATATCACCGATTAAAGGGAGAAAGAAACGAGTAAAAGTTACTCGTTTCAGCTTTCAAATTGGGATTCAAGATCGTGCCAGGTGTAGAATTATTTACTTACGATGGTCAATTAACATCGTTTCTTTCCTGCCAAACATACCTTAGCCTCGATTCTAAATAAGTCCCCGGTACACGCGTTTCTTTGGCTTGGTTTTTATGTACCGAGTCCCAATTCAGCTTTTTCGTAGCTCGTTCGTACCTTGTAAGCCCCCAACGTTATATCCTTCCCCGGTATCCACGAAAGCAAACGTTTGTTCGCGCAGGATGATCGATGTAATTACGCTGGCAACATGGCTAACAGGCCCCTCCGGGGCAAACGCGTCACGGTATATTGAATAATAAAAACAGAGGTACGAAGAACAAACTGCAACAACGTTCAACCTCAATGTTATTTGCAAAATCAGCGGATTCGAATCGCTTGGCTACTTTCAACCTCGAAACATCGCGATCGACCTACGAAGGCTGCCGCGAACGTCCCTGACTAGAATATCGAAAAACAGGATTCTGCGTCTCCTTTCTCGAAATTCTCGGCTCGTTTCACCGGCCTCGCGTCATTCGACGAATTTTAAAAAGCCTGCCGGTGAGTCACCGACAACGACGCTCGCCTACTTCTCTCAGGTTTACTGGATGACGCCAGGTTCTCGAGACCTACGAGGATCCGGTGAAAGGACAATGTTTGGCTGTTTCGTAACAACGCCAAAGCTCTGCTACGACTTTCATCATCGCGGATGTCCAACACCGTCGGTTTCTCTGCTTCCAACCACCTTTTTCTTTCCATTCGCTTCGCGGTCACCTCTGGCTGCGTTTCCACTCGCTGCTCAACGCCTTTAACGACCGCTGGCCGTGCCGGTGTCCTTCCACGGCTAAGGTGAAGCCGGGAAGGTTAATTATTTCTACGATAATTAGCGAGCTTCGGGAGAGAAACTCGTATTTATTTTAATCGATACCGACCAACAATCGTATAATATTTGAAAAACGCAATAATAAATAATACGAAGATGGTTAATTATCTGTGCGTTAATTGGCGAGTTTCCGGGCGCGAAAATTGCTCGTATTCGATTCTATTGGTCGCGATAATTAATGTAAGCATTTAAAAAAGGATAGTACGTAACGAAGGGTATCTTGAATAATATTTATAAGCGATACTAAGCGAGATATTTATATCCAGCACGATGAAAGTGGCCCACGTTACGTATACCTCGATTGAAGATACTTTGTGCCTGGATAAAATACGAAACTAATCGCGATGCAACTAGAATCTCCATGTAACGATTTAACGTTTCGTTATTTTGCAAGAAATAATTTTCTATCGAAGCAAACGAATGCAACGCGAAACAGGCGAGAAATTCTTTCAGATTTTCGACTCGAACCATTTTCGTAATTACCGTAATTTGCAATCCGAATACCGATTTCAGGATTATATATAAAATTACCGACAGCTAACCTATTAAGATTCGAATTTACCACAGCGTCGTTGGTTAATCGCTTTTAATAGAAATCGTTCCAATTTCGTGATCTCGAGACTCCGTTCGATTTATCGATCGCTGTTCGAGTATTGCCGAAGCTTCCTTCGAGAAATCGATAACGATTAGACGTAATTGTACACCACGGATTCGGATTGTTTCTTATAGTCGTAAATCGAGAAACCGAGGAGATGGAAAATAATCGAGAATACCGTGCAATTTCATTTATCGCGAGGTTTGTCCAGGAGCAGCAGGAAGCGCAACATCGGCGTGGCATTTCGCGATACGAATCGCGATGCATTGGCGAGAGACGAAACGAAAAGCAAGCCGTAATGCAGGCCTGTGTACAGAACAATCGCACGGTTCGATGTCGACGGAGTTTATCGAGCTAGAAGGTACGGCCTTGGTCTCCCGTGGTTACTCATCGACCGATCGCGGAGGCGGCCATAGGGCTCGTGGCCGATGCGACCGATCGCTCGAAAATCGTCGCTGATCCAACGATTCGATCATCGAGCCTCGGCCAATCGCGCGGCTCGTCCGCGAAATTTGCGAAAGCGAAAGTAACGTTCGAGAAAGGTTGAGAAATTCAGTAAAAGTTACGTTTCCATATGTTACGAAACCTTCTTTTAACGCGTTTGTTTGGCATTAAGGAAGAAATTAATTGGACGAGTAACGCGATTTGACGCGACTCGATTATCTGGAAATTTCGCAAGCACTCCGCGGAACGCTTGATACAATAACGTCGCTTTCAATGGCTCTTCGACAGTGCCCGTTAGAGGCTAACAATGCCTGACATTTTATTGTCCACGTAGGATTATCAAGAAGGCTACGACATACAGTCTTTATCTTTCCGGTTTTGGCTCGCTCGCCAACTACGTCGGCTAATTCGAAGCCCCGTAAATCGCATCCTTCTTCTTTAGGCGATTAAGACTCGTCTCGAGTGCACGGAGGAAACGGGAGAAAAGAAGAAGAAAAAAGAAAATGGCCGTGCATAAGAGGCAGGGGAGTGTAGGGATAAAATAAGACGAAAAAATCGAGGTATCGCGGCGACGTGGTGAACAGAAACCAGAAATGCAATGACGCGCGAGGTGTGTGCACGGGATGCAAGAAACGCGGGTGCTTTTTCCATAAGGTAACGCGGCCGGAGGCGGCTAGCGGAGATCCATGACTCACGGATCTCCGTCCCGTTCTCCGACGCGACTGTTGCTCCGATTGTGGTGGCTTTGCTGACGATCACGACTCCCACACCGGTGTATTTCAGTAAACACCGTTCGTTTCGCTAGAAACATCCGAGTCCCCGAGTCTAGCTCGATTTCTCGCGTACTTGTTCCAAGGAATTGACACTTGGACCACCACGTTAACACTAGATTTACGGAACCCGTCAATTTGACGGAAGAGCTGCACCAATCATACGATGGTAACAGATTTAGTTATATTAACTTGTATTAAGACTGTTAATATAATATATAATTGTTTTTAAATTAAAGTAATCGTTAAAAAAAAGGCACGTGGTTTCCTTTACCTGTCAATTTGACAGGTGTCCTTAGAAATAGGTATACAGATAGCGTCCGTAGACCTAGTGTTAATTACGTGGTCATTGGTGACCGAAGCGCTTATATGCTTCGTGTTAAGGGGGTTGTAATGCAAAGAAATAGTCAGTGAGTCAGTGGAAACGGTGGAAAAACTGTATAGATGTTTATTAACCCTTTCGCTATGGCGGATATCGTCACGAAGTCTCTACCGTAGAGCAAAGCGTCGTGCCAGTGATGGAAACATTACGATCGTGAAGTCCTTAGCATTCGAGGCCAAGTCTTTTGAAGGAAAATAAAGAAAGAGGAAAGACCGACCATCGCAATAGCGCTTGCAATTTTTTGCGAAGAGAACGGTGGCACTTGTCTTAATTTTTACTCAATTTTTGTGGCCGGTGACTATCGTCATCCGTGGTAGCGAAAGGATTAAACAGGCGAACAGTTAGAACTGGTCCGTCTGTTTAGGGTCATGCAAGTCAAAAGACGTCTCTAAAAATTGGGACAAAAGACACGCGCTGACAAAAGACAAAGCTCAGGGGAAGGGATCGCCCCTACATGGCTAACTAGGAGAATGCAGTCCTTCGGGTCACCGATTTGGTTCAAACTTTGCATGACGAGATCTACAAAGCTGCAAAGTTTGAACCAAATCGGTGAACCCGAAGGACTTGCACTCTCCTTGTAAGATGTAGAGTTTATTTTAGTATTTCGTTTTTACTACAACACTTTGAACAGTAAAAATGCTCCTATGGCGTCCTGAGCGAAACACCTGATTTCAGTGCGGGTTCCCAGTCGAAGGCTTAAAGAAATTAAACCTGAAACCTCGCAAATTTTCACCTAGTCGAATTGAAAGCTCGAATTAGGATACTCGAATGTGAAGCGTCCAGTTGGAATCACAGAGGCTAAGTATCGGAATAAGGAGTTTAAATTTAAATCTCGTTTAACCTCTAACGTGCA